CTGATGCCCTATTCAAGTTGTGAGGTCATTTTATTTTTATTTTTATTTTTAAATTTTGATTTTATCTAAATTCAATTAACATATAGTATATTATTAGTTTCTGAAGTAGAGTTCAGTGATTCATCAGTTGTATATAACATCCAGTGCTTATTACATCAAGAGCCCTGTGAGGTCATTTTAAACTCAACTCATTCAGGTAAACCAGGGAAACAGGGTTCCTGCAAGTCCCTAAGGATATCTCTAGAGTATGGAGAGTGAAGAGGGAAAAAGTAGGCAGAAAGAGACTGCTTTAGTGAAAGTCGCTCCAGGCCTATATATGTTATGTACCAAGGCTCTGTTTTAAGTTTTGATCAAACTATGTATTCCAAGAGTAAAGATAACAGCAATCATAATGACAGTGACAAAAATGGCAATATTATTATGAGATTAGCCCTTCAAGAAGATACTTGCCAACCTTAAGATTGTATGCTTCTAGATGAGTTTTCACAGGAAAATACATCTGGGTTTTTAATGTCTTCTCATGATTGAGGGAGTCTCCTTTGTCCTCTAAATAGGCAGGATGTTATTCAAATAGTATTTTTTCCCTTTACTAAAGATACCTTCCCGCCACTCTTTTTTCCCTTCCTAATTTTCGTTTCTTCCACCATTTTTTTCTTTCCTTCCTTCATGTTAATGGATAAACTGGTTAAAGTTTTAAAATATTGAAAAATAACTTTATAAAAGAATAAAATTCATCTATGTATGTATTTCTCTTATATTAACATTCCATCACTTGAAAATGAACGAGTAATTAGTGTAACTGATGTGGACACTATATTGGACCCCTGAAACTCACTTGCAGGGTTTGTTCATGATTCAGACAGCCAAGGCAAATGACCATTTTAAATTCTGTTTTTCTGCTGCTGCTGCTAATTTATAAAGAACTTTTGAGAGAAAATGTCCAGATTTAGGAAATTAATCTATAGTCGTGGTTAATAATATTAGTGGAGAAAAGGTGCAAAACAATAAATTATAATTAATTATATGCGTATATTTTTAAATTAAGTTTGGGTTTTGTTTTGTTCTGTTCTGCTACCCCAATGGCATTAGATTCTCCTTCCGTAGCACGCCAGCCTCATTGGTTCATGTAAGTTTCCCTCGTGTGTGTGTGTGTGTGTGTGTGTGTGTATATGTCTGTAGGTTTTGTGTTTTTTTGTTTGTTCATTAATTTATTCATTTTCTTTTATCTCATTTTCTTTTCCCATTTCCTTCTTCTGTTCATGAGCAACTATTATAATTTATGAAATTTCTGGGTTTTTTTTTAAATATATAATGTTACTTGGTACGAATAGCATTTTAATGTACATCAAATGTTATTGTCCTATAGACAGATCCTGTCTCTCACTTGGTTTTACTTGGAAAGTAGTTTTAAGGTGGATCTACCTTTTGGTGTTAACGCCTGGTATGGTCTTTTCCTGCACCCTCTGCCAGATGTTTTCATCTTGAGCACTTACTATACTCACATTGTCCCATTTCTCCTGATACTGCCCCCTCCCACAAATAGACACTCAGCAAGATTTCTGAGTCATAGAGTATACATGTGTTTAATTTCATGATGTTCTGCCACATTGCCCTCCAGAGGGGTGTACTTATCTGCATTCCCATTAAAATAATTACATGTTTATAAATTGTAAACAAGCAGTTGCTGTATTTTCCTATGACATAGTCATAGTATTCTCACATCACAGAGTGGGGGTAAAGCTGAACAGCCATCCAGCAAGTATAATATTCTCCTTTGGAGTCCGGGTCCCTTGATCCTCCATCCTGGGTCAACACCTGGTATTTACTGGCTTTTAAACTTTTTGCAAGATGATGAGAGCTCACTAGTATGTCATTATTGCTTTAATCTGTACTTTCTAATCACTAATGAGTCTGAGCCTTTTTATATATACCTATAACACTTTTAAAATTCTTCGTCTCTGAATCATCTTAATTTTACTAACTGCCAAGATATTTCGGTTTTTTTCTAGTAGAGTATCATTTTTATTAATTTTTATGACAGCATACAATATTCGATGCAAGGTCGTGGTCACCACATAAGTGACTAATTGTGTAGTGCCTGCCACTTACTAGGTGCTGGAAAAAATAGTTGTGGAACAAAAAAAAAAAGTCATGAGCATTTGTGTTATATACTTTTGGATATGCCTATAAGATTTCAACTGTTAACTCAATAAATTTAATCCATAAGATGTTTGTGATGTAATGGTAAATATTAAATATAGACAAAGAAATAACATACATGAAATTGTGCATTATAAAGAATAGCATTTACTAGTTTTAAGAGATGTAAGTTAAGTAATCCTAGAAGTTATAAAAGTTATTTTTTTTATTCAAACATTACCTGATTATCTTTTTTGTTTTAAATAACATGTTAAATATAAGATTCTGAGCAGCAAATCCTGTCATCAGCTGTTGCACATTCAATAAAAATTCAGATGATCTTAGTTTTCCTATTAAAAGCTATTAGTATAGGTACTTTCTAGGAATATGATTGAAACATCATCTGTCCACTCTCAAAGTTGACCAATTCATTAACATACATGATGATATAATTTAAATATAAAGAAAATGTAAATGTATGCTCATAATGCTAAATAATTGATATAACCATTCATGTGTACACTGCCTTCCAGGAATTATTTCTAAAACAAAGTCAGAGTACAGGGTTATCTACGGATTGACACTGCTTCCATTCAAGTCAATTAAATGATAAAATATAACTTTAGTGATCCTCAATGTAGCATGATCATGTTCAACAAATTTTTACTGCATTTTAAAATAGTTTAGAGGATTTTGAACTAACTTTTTTAAAGAATATTATATTTGAAATCATATCAGACTTAATTCTCACAGTTATTAAAACCTTGTCATGAATTTATAAGGAGTGATTGGTTATATTCACTTGGTTATTTTAGTATGGTTCTTGTAGGATTTGTAGGGATTTGAAGAGGTGACAGATAGGAAAGGTGTTATTAAAGGACGATGTGCAAGTCATCACATTCCCTGTAGCATCTGATACTCACTATTGGAATCAAGTACTGGCAAAATCTTTTGAACCACAGTCCTTCACAAACTCTGGTGGGAAACTGAATGAAGAGAAAAGAAGTTCAGTCTGTGTATCATGGAACAGAATAGATTGTGTAGTTTATGACTTCAGGTTTATTTCTACGCAAGATTCTAGTTATCTGTTATTGGTTTTTTTCAGCAATTTTATTAACGATTCTAAATAGTATTCCCTTTGTAATACTGGAAGCATTTTTTAATTTCATTGGGTAATTATGTCTTTTAAATTTGCCCTTTTATTTTGAGAGGTGAAAAATAAACAAGTTAATCCAAGAGAAGAAGCATGAAGATTATGCAGCTATTTCTTTTCATAAAATATGTTCTTGCTGAAAAGTGACAATGCAATTATAACACTATAATTTGTTTCAATTCAAAATCATCTGTACATAAATATACTCTTTATGCTGACTTTTTTTTTCAAGTGTTCTTTTCAGTGTGCTTTTCCTTTTGTAGTGCTAAATTTTTTAGTGGTATCATCATTGTCTCTTACGTAATTTTCTCATTTTATACATACAACAGCCTGGGATTGTTGAATTAAACCCAAGGCCCAACTGAAGATAAAGTTTTGTTGGCGTAAGTTCTAGAAAAGCCATTTTTGTTTGTGTTATTGTGGACATTTTTATGGACTTCTTTTGCCATTTCACTGTAGTAAAAAATTTCCCTTACTTGTTTGCAACTGGTAATATGCTTTCCAGTGTATATCAAAATCATTAAAACTTTTAAAGATTCAATTATGCCATATTTAAAGTTTTCCACTGAACCCAATGGTTTGCAATAGGGAATTTCACATAGGCATCTGTGAAGCTCATTGAAAACCTAATTGTTCAAGTATTTCTTTTTATTTCAATTATAGCCTAGTTATGGCATACGGATTTTTATTAGGTAAAGCTGGTAGCATTCACAAATATTTGGGCACTATAACTTGGATAGTTTCATCTAATTTCTCTCCATTCACAGAGTGGCATATTAGGACTAAATGATTCATGCCAAATATGTACTCCTAAATTATTTTGACAGCTCATATAAAATGGACCAAAGAAACAAAATTTAAAATGTTGAAACACTGTTACTACATTTTTTTATTGAGAATTATCTTTCTAGACAGAGAGGAAACATGAAATGCCCTCTAATTAATCCAGGAACATAATTGACGCTATCCAGCACAAAAAGAAGATACAGAGTTCTGTGTTGAAACATTATTAAGAATTTCAAAATGGTGCCAGTGATGTGTTAAACCAAGCATGGGCCCTTCTAAACCCAGGACCTTGTCCTACCACACAGGTGCCACACACACACACACACACACACACACACACACCCACCCATAAAGCTGTCCTCTCTGTAACATGCCTGCTGATTCTAGTCAGGAACATCTTGTAGGCAGTGAAGAAAAAGAAAAAATACCATTAGGAAATCTGTCTTATCTGAGCAAAGTTGAAGCAATAACAGTTTCTTAAGGGGAGCTTCACAACAAGCTACTAATGACTTTTTTCCACCTCTCCCATTCCATTATGGAATATGGAAGTTTATACTCTCCTAGATGCTTGTTCCCCATAGGAAAATTATATTGGTGCTTTTTTTTCCTACACAAAATTGGCCTAAGCAATATATGTTCAATAATGTTTTCTTTATTAAAGTAGTGTGAACAAAATGCATGTGTTTGGTAATATTTAATAAGTTTTCAAAAGCAACATTTTGCATGTTGTAGTAGACACATTTGATGTGTTCAGGTGAGTGATGACATCAAGCTACATGTGGTATTAATGTTCCAGAGAACTTTGAACTGATGCTCTCTGAACTGGTGTGCTGAGTTGGTTTTTAAATGTCTTCTATGCCTTATGGACCCCGACTAGAAATACAACACATTTTTAATTTTATACTTGAATTTGTCTCTTTAGGGATGCAAGTATTGGAATGGAATGGAATTCCTTTAACTTCTAAGACGTATGAAGAAGTGCAGAGTATCATTAGTCAGCAAAGTGGGGAAGCAGAAATATGTGTAAGACTGTGAGTTTTTCCCCATCTTTTTGTTTCCATTTTTTGGCTATTCATGGCTCTTTTAATTTAAAATTGTTAAGGTGGAACCTTTGCCAGTCAGCAAGATTTTCAGTAATTAGAAAATAAAGTGAATACAAGTTTTATAGATTTCTTGTGTTTGGAATCGAAGTCGAAAGCATAGAAAGAATTCAGCTAATTTTGTGTTTGATTATGTCAGTAGTTCTCCCCTTTCATGCTTTTACTGAAACATGCTTCATTTAAATGAAAGCCTATTCCCATTTAGATTTCATGTCTGTGTATAGTATTTCAAAATGAACTTACATTTAATCCATAAAGATTTCACCTTAAATAATCATTTTTATAGCTGACTTTTAACAGCATTGCAAATATATATTTGGTTAGAAGGATGAGCATGCTTGGAAATTGCTTTATATCATTAACCACTTCTCATTTACCTACTGAAAAAAAAAATCAAGGTAGTTGGAAAAAAGGGCCTCTTGTCTCCGGTTTCCTCAATTTCTTTCTTAATTTCTTTGTTTTAATTTTTAGGGACCTCAATATGCTGTCAGACTCTGAAAATCCCCAGCACCTGGAACTTCACGAGCCACCAAAAGCCGGTAGGTGAAAGTCATCGGCCTTCCACTGTGGGTTAAGGTGAAGATGTAACTGCAAGGTAGTTATAGGGGCACTATAAACACAATCATTGATACTGTATGGGCAAGATGCAGTTATAGACCAACAGATGTTTATTTATTTATTTATGTAATCATAAACAAAATCAAAAGCACTGCAGCTACGTTTTAGCATTCTAGGGAAGCACATACTTGCGTGTAAGACCAGTGAAAGAAATTCATACAGAATTCTTGCTGTGTGAGTTTACATTTTTAATTCTTTAAAAATAAATTTATCCCACCAGAATAATCCATGGAGCCATTTATTTGGGGTTTTATGGAATTTTTAGATAATACTTGATTCTCTTTAGCATAACTGGACTATGGAACACTCATTCTTGAACCTTTTGATTGCCTTTTTCTTATAAAGAAAAAAATCAACATGTAATTTTATTAAGGATGTGATGAAACAGACTTAACTCTTTCTGAGCTAACAAAGTCTTAGAAATGTACATCAATTATTACATGAGAAACATCACTTATTTGTTTAACAAATATTTACTGAACATTTTCTCTGCTACAGCCAGCATTCTAAGAGTCTGGGTTACTGCACTAAAGAACAGACCCAGGCCTGTAGAACTTTTCATACAGCTGTGCATGTAAATTACCTTGTCATCTAGAACTGGCATAAGCTCCATGGTATTTTGGAGCTATGAAACTGAGAAATACATAGCCACTTTGTTTTGTTGTAGTGGATAAGGCGAAATCCCCAGGGGTTGACCCTAAGCAGTTGGCAGCAGAGCTCCAGAAGGTTTCCCTGCAACAGTCTCCACTGGTTGTGTCGTCTGTTGTGGAGAAAGGATCTCACGTTCATTCAGGTCCTACATCAGCGGGATCCAGTTCCGTTCCCAGCCCCGGGCAACCAGGGTCCCCCTCCGTGAGCAAAAAGAAACACAGCAGCAGCAAGGTGAGAAGTGACCTCTTGAGTTACTTATTTTCTCTTGCTCCTTATTCAGACAAGGACAAAGGAAATCCAGTATCATTTTCTAAAGTGTTTTTCTTGTGATTTCTCATTTTATTGAAACAAAAAAAATTCAATTTCTTAATATATAACTAATCAAGATGTTATAAAGATGATATATTTCTACATTTCTTAAAATATTTTAGCAGTTATTATTATGAGGCACTTGAAAAGTGTGTCTAATGCTTTCTAATTCCTGATTCTTTTTCTCTGTAGTTGCATAAATTTGAGCCTCTTTATGTATGGAACATTGGCTTTGCATCTTTTTGGAAATGCAAGATATACATTACATTGGATTTGATAATTTAAATAAAAGGTATAAAGATGCAGAGATAAAGAGGATTTAGGACAATAAGGAAAACCTGTAATATGGAATTGCTACTTTGAATTTTATCCCTAATTCCATACTAATTGGGGTGCCTGGGTGGCTCAGTCAGTTAAGTGTCCAGCTCTTGATTTTAGCTCAGGTCATGAACTCTGGGTCATGAGATGGAGCCCTGCATTGGGCTCTGTGCTCCACGGGAGTCTGCCTCAGGTTCTCTCTCTGCCCATCCCCCCCCCCATGCTCTCTCTCTCTCTCTCTCTCTCAAATAAATAGATAAGTCTTTTTAAAAAAAAGAAAAAGAAAAGAAATAAGGAAAACCGGTAATATAAAATTGCCATTTTGAATTTTATCCCTAATTCTGTACTAATAAATGTTCCCTTGTTGGAAGTCTTCATTTGAAATAAATGTTTCTAACACTATTCTTTCCAAGCTACTGGGCTATTAAAAGAAAACATAGAATTAGTTTTTTAACCTTATAAAAGCAGATGAAATGTAGAGAGTTTGTAGCTTTTTCTTCATAGATTTGATTCTTAATAAAGAAATTCTCATTATGGTCAGTAAATATATTGGAAAAAGTATTCTCTTGTTTAAACATGAATAAAGATTTCTCTTTACATGGTAAGATATATGGGAGGGACAGGCCATGCTTGGGTAAACTGACTGGACTTCAGAAAACAAAGGTTTTTTTACAAAGTATAAATACAGCAGGTGTCTCCAGGTGTCCCCCCACATCCCTTTTATTCAGAAACAAACAACAAAGGTAAGATGATCTTAATCATTGTATCTTTTGATGACTTGTCCCAAATTAAATATAGCAGGGCTTCTCAAAGAATAATTTCAAGAATAGTTAGATTCAATTTCAAAACAAATTTTAACACAACTATAATTTCCCATATTTACCACAAACAATTGTGTGTTAGTTTTCAAGAATTACCTCATGGAGTCTCCCTGTCTCCTGAGACTGATACTTCTCATTTCTTTCTTAATATTTCCAGGTAGAAGGCCTCAAGACATAACAAACTCTGCTAGCTAAGATTCCAAACCAAGAGCACATTATAATAAGTTTCTCATCCTAATACATTTTTTTTATTTCAGCAAACTGACATCACCATCCTTCCAGAAAATTAAGTACAAATTTAAGACCACCATTGCTCCTCTTTTTTCTCCATTCACAGTGATCAGTCACTGAATCTTGATCCTGAGAATTCTAATTTTCTAATAAGGCTGTAGTGATTTTCTGTCTTCTCTGAACTCACCAGTTTTCTTTAGCAAAGCATTTTTTTTTCCCCAACATTATTACACTCATTACTGGTAACTCCATTCACCATTCTCTCTTCCTTCCTCTTAAACTATCTTCCAACTGTCTGATCTGTAACAGTGATCTGATCTGATTGGGTCACTACCCTGTTTAAAAAGTATCCCTGCTCCCTAGAAAGTTGACCGCCTCACCTCTGCCTACGACCCTATCCTGCTCAGTCTAAAAGGGCTTGGTCAGTGGTTTTCCTTGGGAGATTATTACAGTAAGTCTAACGTTCAGTCTTTACAATAGCCTTGCTAATAAGTACTCTATACATTAGGGTTTCCAACTCATTCCTACTTTCCATGGACATTTTTGGGTGGCACCACAGTGTCAGGGGTCACACTTTGTACAAGATACAAAGTTGGATAAAATCCCTTCCCTGCAGACTAGGTAGACCAGTAGTTCCTAAAGTGTGATTCCCAGTAACAGCATCAGCATCATCTAGAAACATGTTAAAAATGCAAATTCCTGATCCCACTTTATACCTTCTGAATTAGAACCAGTGGGGATAGGACCAAGCAACCAGAGTTTTAAAATATTCTCCAAGTGTGTGTGCTGCCCCTTGAAGTTTACAAGGTACGATTCTAAAATACAATGATATGTCAACAAATTCAATGAAGGTATATAATGTTGGATGTCATTTATTTGAGAGAGAGAAAGATAGCAAGAGAGAACACAAGCACAGGGGAGGGGGAGAAGCACTCTCCCCACTGAGCAGGGAGCCCGATGCTGGGCTCGATCCTAGGACCCCAGGATCATGACCTGAGCCAAAGGCAGATGCTTAACCACCCAGGTGACCCAACAATTTGTACCTTGATTGTAGCTACTAGTTTCCTTATTTTATCCTCCCAATTAGGCTGCAAGCTCCTTAAGAACCAAAACCCCTTTCTTACTTTCTCTGTGCTTCTTAGCACATAGTAGAGGGGCTTACACAGCATAGTAACAAAATAAATAAATATTGTGAATTAAAACATCATTGGCACTTGTGAGTCTCTATAATATTACAGAGGTGCAAAATTTGTTTTTTGTTTTGGCAATGTTTTGGCAATGATTAGAAGATGAAAGTAAGTATAGTAGGACAAACATCAAGGAAATGATATTGACATGTTTTATGATATGCAGTAATTTTTTTCCATGCCTAGAATGTGGCCTATGTGATTTTACTGTATTTTTGCTGGAATAAAAATTTATAGAACTGTATTGTCCATAACGATAGCCACATGTGACAATCGAGCCCTTGAAATGTGGCTAGTCTGAATTGAGATATACTGTAAATGTGAATTAATGCAAAGTTATCAAGACTTAGTATGAAAAAAGAATATAAATTATCTGGTTACAATTTTGATATTGATTTCATGGTATAATTATAATAGTTTGAGTAAAGTGGGTTATATAAAACATTATTAAAAATTAATTTCACTGGCTGATTCTTACATTTTTAATATAACTACTAGAATATTTGAAATTACCTATGGTCTCATATTCTACTCTTCAGTGATGATATAGAGATTACTTAAATCTTACTAGTAATAATAACAATAATCAAATCTAATCACTTTTGGGATGCATATGTATATAATATTACACATACATTTTTAATTAAAACATATAGTCACTTGATGCTAACACTCTTGAAGGAAGAGACTATTTCCTGTTCATCTTTTGGGGCACTTATCTCTAACATTTAGCTGGTATAGTTTCTTAAAACATTTTTTTCTGAATGAATGAGTGAATAGATAAATAAATTTAATGATATTTCTTGACCCATCAACATGTAGTATTCATAAAATGCAATACATTGTTTTCATTTGTTCTCCAAATCCTACAATGTTAAAGAATTTATATTGAGAAATTACAGAAATATGGAGTGATGGTCTGAAACTTACATATCCCTGAGTCAGGTAATATGTCCACAAATGTCATATGTTCTTCAGATAATTTATAGAATTATGGTTTTAACTTCATTGTGTTTTCATTAGGTGTGAGACTAGGTATGAAAGTATAAAACATTAAGGTAACAGAATGTATTAAAACTAAAATATCTAAATACAGTTAGCATAATTATACATTTGGATACTTAGAACACCATCTAGTAAACATTCTAAATGATTATTCATAAGTAATTATTAATCTGTTAATACTCAAAATGGTTTCTTCTGAGTAGACATAGGTAAAATATGAATCAGAATTATTTAAATACATGTTTAAATTATATAAGCTATGTATATGACTATTTTAAATTATTTTGTTTAAACTAATTCAATACGAATTTTTATCTTCAAAATTTTTATGTTACCACCTCAAGCTGTTTGTCTCTGAAATTCAGAACAAACCTTCTTCATTTTATCTTTAAAGTTTGAATGATTTCTTTCAAGTCATGGTATTAATAAATGATTCAATTAAAGTACTTTAATCATGTTTTATGAAATAGGTCATTGGTTTCCCAAACTTTGTTGGTCATAGCACCCTGAATGTCTCAGTAATTTTTTTTCATGGCTCTCTCATGCCCAAACATACCCTAGAACAGTTTTATTTATTAAATAATTAATTAGTATTTAAATCCTAACATCTGAGTAGCCATTGAAAAAATAATACATATAAAATGAACTGTAAGTTGGCTAATTGAATTTAAATTTAAAAAATAATGTATTTGTTTCATTGTTAATAACTAGATTACATTTCATTGGGATATGTGCCGCTGATGGACATTGCACAGCTACTCAAACCATGAAATCAAACTGCACACTAAGTGATTTCCTGTTCTACACTCAGCTCACTGAGTTTCTTGAAGTATATTTTTTATCACCGCACTCGTTAAAAAACAACCTCACAAAGATAGGACATCACTGAAAGGAAAGTAGTTGGCTCTAATCTTGAAAGGTAACTACCTGGAGCTCATGGTTTGCTCGGTGTCCAACAGATAATTGATCTTTTTCGGACAATCACTTCTTAATATTTCACATTCCTTAATTAAAGTTCTATCCTATTCTATGTAAGTTCTCACTTCCTTAATAAGTTGCTTATGTCAGTAAAGCCTTAAGAATATTCAGGAGTGGGCACCTGGGTGGCTCAGTTGGTTGGACGACTGCCTTCGGCTCAGGTCATGATCCTGGAGTCCCGGGATCGAGTCCCACATCGGGCTCCCTGCTCAGCAGGGAGTCTGCTTCTCCCTCTGACCCTCTTCCCTCTCGTGCTCTCTATCTCTCATTCTCTCTCTCTCAAATAAATAAATAAAATCTTTAAAAAAAAAAAAAAAGAATATTCAGGAGTGTGATCTGGTAAACTGGCTCCTAATGTTGAAAAAAATGACTAATTGCTGACTGCTGACTCGTTACATTTCAATGCCATATTTGTACAAACGGAGAGATGATATCCCTGACTCCAGATCTGTAATAGGGTTTCAGGTAATGGGGCATCCACATTGGGAGAAATTTACTAAAATGGAAGCCAGCCTGCTACCCCCAAAATAAGGTCCTACCCGTCTACATGTGCATAATATTGGCCTTGCCTCCCTAGAGGGAGCAGGGAGGGGTTGAGCACCCATCGAAGGGGCACAAGGATGGACTCTCTAACCTTTGTGCTCCTAGGCAGTCATCGTCTAAAAGCAATGTCTTTTTCATTTCTCTGTAGATCTTTGAAACCTGTAAATACTTAAATTGAGTACTTTAAGGCAAAGTAGTCATTTCATTAATTGAAAATGCAGTCTTACAGGTATAAAATTATAGCTTCAAAACAGGCTGAGCAAAATGAAAAAAGAGATTTATGTATCTATAAAATTAAATACATATTGAGAAGGAAATGCATTTTCCAGGCAGTATGCTCTGACCAAATAAAAATTAATTCCAGAAGGAAGTTGAAATGGTAAATTTTATGAAGGGCTTATCCATTAATACAATATATGTTTTTAATATTGCAGCCTACTGATGCAACAAAGGTTGTCTCTCATCCGATTACGGGGGAAATTCAGGTATGAAGTTTTTGAAAAATCAGCATTGTACCATCTTCGTTGGCTGTTTTTTTCCCCCAACCCTGGTCTGTTGAAATTGTAAACACTGTTAGGACCTTTCCTGTTTTATATATGTTGTATATTACACATATAGACCTGTGAAGGAAAAAATACAATTTTATAGAATAGCATTTTAGTACAAATACGTAGTTCATAAAATCTAATTATATGTATGCAGTTCTATAATTTGATATGTGTCTGATGCCTTAGCAGTATCAGTACGTTTTATGTCTCAGTTTATACTTGTTGAATGTGTTTCAAACATGACAGATTCTTCTGGAAATGTGAAGTTTCCTCTTTAAGAGTTTCATGAGTCCAGTACTATCCTCTTAACAACTGTTGTATAATCGCTGAACATTTCTTCCAGAGTAGTGTTTTTCATACCAGCAGTCATAACCAGTTTGTAATTCATAAAATCAACTTAGGGGATTTTGATCAGGAAAATAGAAGAAAAATAGTACAAATCACTCTCTTTTTTACTTCTATAAGCGTGTGTTTCTGTGTGTGTCTTGTATCATAACTATTTCTTACTGTGGGTCGTATTCAGAAATGTTTTAAAAAACTGTGCTTTAGATGATACCAAAAAGTAATTCAGGATAGATTTAAAAAATCACGTGGAAATAAGTAACACAATGTAAAATAATAACTATTGGGAGATAGCAAGTTTCAGATAAGGGGAAGAGAACAGTAAGTCTTAGAGCTGTGTCTCCAACATAGTCTGGAGAAGTTTTCGTGAATGGCTTCACAAAGGACAACAGACTTGAACTAATTTGAGGATAAGCCCTGAGAAAGGGGGACTGTGTTCCTGGCAGAAGACATGCTTCAAGGAAAGTTTCCGCCGCCAGAGAGTAAGAAAAGGCAGGGATCAGCTTTGCGGCTGCGAAATGTTCCTGTACAGATAAATTGAAACCAAATGAAAAAGAACCTTGGACACAAGCTGAGGGGTGTTAGCCACTACACTAGGGTGATCAGTAAGTATTTTGGAATAAGGGAGAGACTAATTGAAGGGAATATATAATAAGATTTCATACAGCAATGGCATCCAGGAAATATTATAATGGGGAGGAAACAAACACAAAGGAAGCAATGAAGTGATGATCTAGGCTCACGCTGATTAAAGCAGAAGCGGCGTGTGAGAGTGAAATGGGAAGAGGTGCACAATGCGGGCACCTCACTGAGGAGGATCCAGCAGCCCAGAGCCTGGAACCTTCCATGCTGCACACCTTGCAGCCTTGCTGCTCCTTCCCGCTTCCAAGAAAGCCAGACCTGATCTTTCTTGATTTCACCAGCAGCCAAGAAAATGCTAAATTTGCTGATTTGCTGATTCCTAATTTTTTTTCTCCCCCCCCCCTTTTTTTAAGCTTCTTGCCCCCGGAGCAGTGTTTGCTTTGTTTCTTTTTGCTTGGGGTTGTTTTTTCTTTCTTTCATTTTCCTTTCCCTTGAACAGTAATATTTAATTCTATAGCAGAAATTTACTCTGATAATATCCTTTCTTAACTCTTAGGCTGTTTTCTTTTCTCTTTTAATATTTTCTCATGACAGTGATTTCTAGCTTATTTCTTTATTTTCTTGTAGCAAAACCTTTTTGCAAATGCAGCCTTATGTGGACACCCAAATAAATGAATCCACCAGCCCTGGGGTAGCTCAGGGTGGAAGGTGACCGGGGACGTTTCATTCTGTCTCAGAAGTAACATCTGAGCCACCCTAAGCGTTTTCTAAAGCACTGCAGGATCAATGCTGAGAAGCACTTTCTTAGGGTAGCCTGCAAGTTTTCATTTAAATAAGAAATGGTTTTGGTGCCTCACCAGATAAAAGTAGACATAAAGGCCAGCGAAGAAAAGACTCCTTGGGGAAGCATTTCTCCTAAACAGTTCGGAAGCTGTTCTAAATCTCAGTGAAATTAATTGCAGAATAATTCCATTTTTCGATACCCCGTTAGAGTACACAGTTACTGCAGTTTGCAACTTCCCATTTTTTTCTCTTCCTTCATGGCACTTTGTTTTATATGTCACGTTGCTTTCATGATGGTCAGACTGAGCTTTTCTGTGTTGAGAAAAGCAATGGAAGATTCCCTTTCTGCCTGAAAAATATAACCAGATGAAAATTGTGCTAAAATTAGGAATTATTTTAATTATCAGATTTTAAATAAAGCTTGGCTTCTCTACATTATCCCATTCTCAACATGAGCACAACATACCTGTTTCATATGATTATAAAAAATAGGTTAGTATTTTTATTTATGGATTTTTTTCTTCTGAAATATAGATCCGTTCCTTTCTGTTATTTGATAAAGAAAAGCAGCATCAGGCAAAATTAAGCCTTATTCAAAATGATGCCATAAGAATATTTAAATTTTGAAGGAGAAAAATTAGTTAGCTCCATTATCTTGAATTATGCAGGCTTCACAAATATTTATTTGAATTGTTAATCTTTTCCTATTCAGTGACAATTGTGCAACAGCCATTAAACATCTAGGAGGCAAGGCCTCTTCCCTCTTCAGCATCTAAAATTAAAGAACAAGATCTTATTGTCTCAAACCTGACTCTATTAGAAAAGCAGGCACAGAAAAAAATTATGGGTAATATAATGTAATATGGAAAGAGATAAAATCCACATGTTCTTAAATATTCTTACATTTCAGATTAACAGCTCTATCTTTAAATAATGATTCCATCTTCTGCTAATTATTTGGTAAAATGCAAGACATTTTCCAATAAATTCATCAATTGATTTATTTTCAAAATCCTGGTAATTGTATTCATGAACGCTAACAACATTACTATTTTTCTAAGAGTATAAATTTATTTTAAAAATGTAACTGGCAATTCGCTGCATGATTTATCTTCTAAATGAATTTTAGACAGGCCAGAACTTTAACCTTGGAAAGAATGAACAGCACATTTACTAGTAATTAGCATGTGCCTGGGAGCTCTCAATTAAATTAGACGTATACTAGTCTGTTCAGTTTCAAGTGAAAGGGAAATGAAGGTTGATGCTCCCTATGAGATTAAAAAAAAGTACTGGTGCGTTATTGAATAATAATGTATTATAAATTTCTTAAAACAACAACAAAAAATATTCATGGAATATTTTGATGTCCCTTTAAGCTTCAAATCAACTATGATCTTGGAAATCTCATAATCCATATTCTCCAAGCAAGAAACCTTGTCCCTCGAGACAACAATGGTTACTCAGACCCCTTTGTGAAAGTGTACCTTCTTCCTGGGAGAGGGTGAGTAAAAGAAGCAGTGTCTTCTAAGTATCGCATCTCATGGATTAAAAAAAATAGTGTTAGTGTTTCTAGTCTCCAATTTTAAAGAATTTAATATCTATTCCTCAGTTTTATTCACGTCATATTTATTTATTTCCAACTATTAGATAAGGTGGAAATAAAAATTTGCAATTAAGCCTTGAAGCGTTCCTGGGGAGCCTTGATCATACTAAATCCTGTCTTGACGACACGTCAGTCTTTTGAATCTAGAAACCACTATAACCAATCAGATGGACTGTGAAATCATTTAAGGAATTATTTGTGGCAGATTTAGAGAATTAGCTTTACCTTCCCAAATTCATTTGCAAAACCAGTGTTCAAGGACCCGTAAATTACTGTTTTATCTCATAGGACATCATTATCTAGCCCGTTACACGTTCATTAAGTGACTTATTGATGTCTCCTTATTTAGATGTGTATTTTCAATTCAATGTTTTAAAAATTATAAAATAAGAGTAATATTTGAAGTGTTGAATATTAAAAATATTTAATAAGTATGGTAAATATTTCGTAAATAAACAAAAAATATCTCTGAATCTTGCGTGATATACAAACTGTTCGTATAAAGCAAGTGCTCTTTGGAGATGTTTAATTTTCATATGATAAGTGCAAATTGCTATGTTCTGGTATATAAATCAGTACTCAAGGATGGTTTCAAAACAGTGATTTGGACCCAACAGATCATTATACCTTATCTGAATAATTTATAGTAGCCAAATTAGCATGATGGAACCATAAGTAATCACAATTGGAGGTATAATAAATAGAATTTGGGGCTGGTAATATGACGGCTCTGGTTTTATTTTTATTCATTTTTCTTTTAACTTGAGGAGTGACATTTGAATATTACTTTTTCCTTGGAAATTTTGAATTGTTGCACGTGAGTAGAAAGAATAATGTAATGACCCAGCACATACTCGTTACTTGGCTTCAACAATTATTTCCTAGCCAATCATGTCTCATTTTTACCCTCATATACTCCCTCTATACAGATTATTTTAAAACAGATCAAAAACTAATAAGTTGGCTAATTGAATTTAAATTAAAAAAATAAATCTCAACTCATATCTTTTTTCTGCAAATATTTTACTATATATTTGTAAAAGTTAACTCATTTAAAACAACCATAATACCACATATAACCACTGTAATTTTAAAATGTTTAAATCATTCCTTAATTTCCCCAAATGCCTCATAATGATTTCCTATTTGGTTTGAAGACCTAACTGATACTTATAGAACATTTTTCCCATCAGTAGCAGAATGTGCATTCTTTTCAAGTGCACCCAAAACACTCACCAAGATAAACTATATCGTGGGCCATAAAACAAACCACAAAAAATTTAAAAGCACTGAAATCATACAAAGCATATTCTGTGACTATAGTTGGTTTGTTTGAATAGGATCCAAATTCGAGTTATATGTTACCTTTGAGTCTGCTGCTTGTTGACTAATTACATCACCACCAGCAGATCACCATTTCTTTTGAGATTAATTTTTCTTGTCAATATTGACAGAGCCAAGGAAACAGAGCCAATAGTTTTATCTGTCAAGAAATCAAATAATACTCAGAAAATAATCTGCAAATTTGCAGGTGTTATATCAAATTAAGTATACAGCCTTTAATTTTATCCTAATAATTGCACTTAGAAATTTAGAATTGCTGGTTTTGTGATTCTAGTTTTAATTTGTCGACTTTAATTTATAGGGGTCACCGGTAGAGCACAGGAAAGGGAAATTTTCATTTTATGTTCATTTAAATTTTTGGTAGTTACAACTGCAATTTGGCTACCTTTTTTTAATGTGCGTATAACTACAACAAACTGATAACTTCATTCTGCCTTTGACTAGGTCATTAGACCTTCCCTGTTATTTAGTGACAATATTATGGGACAAGAGGTAATCACTGCCAAGGGTATATCCCTAATTAGCATTTGCTAATGAATGAATGAAAATAAAGCAGTGTCTTTTACTTTTTGTCTTCGCTAATAATATCCTGGAGAATATCACTTTTTATACTATATGAGAGTGCCTATCTTTTATTTATTACAGGATATGTTTCATTAGACTATTACATACTTGAATAACCCGAAAGGGCAGGCAGATAACATGAATATGTCAGTCATTCTGGGGTGAGTAACAGGGAAGGAGGGAACTATAGTGAAATAAAGAGTGAGTTTCCCACCTGAAGCCATCTCTACATATTTTGTCAGACAAAACATGCCTGCTGGGTGGGATTTGCCCCAAAGGGAGCTAATCAACTACCCCTATTCAATTCGTAAACCTTTCCTTAAATTATTCCTACAGATTACAGTGGCCAAGGCATTTGGCTGTTATATGACTTAGAGCTGTTATTTTCACTGTAGCTCTAAGTCTCTTTTCTGCCTCATGTTATTTATATGTTACGGTGGACCTCCTCCCGTTATTATTCTCATATTTTCTTCCTTATTTCTGTTCCTAACTTTTTTCTTCCTGTCTTTCCGACTTGCCTGTGGTATCCTTCACTCTTCGCTCTCGGAATCAATGCAGTCAAGTCATGGTTGTCCAGAATGCAAGGTAGAGTTGGTTCTCTTTCAGTGTCAAGCTACGCTGTAATGTCTAGAGTTTTATTTTTTGCCTATTTGTGTACATTCACCTGCAGTTTGACTTGACAAAGATGTAATTTGCTTCTTTTTACATGTTGGTATCTACTGAATTAGGCTACCAGCAAATTGTTCTGATTACATTACATTACAGGTTTGGCATATGTGTGCCATAGAACATTGAAAAGTAGAAAATATTAAAAACAGAAAAATATGAATAAGGAAATACCACCCTGAAATTAGATGTAACTGGTTTTCATATATAATTTGTCCACTAAAGTTCATTTAGCTTCTCATGTGATAACCATGGCTTAAGTTCTCCTGGGTGTTCTATTACAAATAAAAATAAAATCTAGAGTCATTTTCCACAAGAAATTAACTGACCTTCCAGATTCACTGGCGTGAATCTCATCCTAAATACCATAGTTCTCGAGTCTTTTTCCCTTGGTTAGACCTGATATTGAAACATTTCCATGTCTTTATACCTTCTGCACCACAGAGGCATTGCCATGCAATAGGATGCCATAGTCGGCCTGCTCTAGCACACTGGCAACAACATAAGAGCATCCTCCTTTCTTTGCCATTAGTAGGAAACTGTTTTCTAATAGAGCTCATAACATGGTACATCATCACATGGTCATCTAAGGGTATCTTTTAGATACATAACTAAGAGCATTCTTTTGCACATCTCATTACACTATATATTAAATGTGTTGTTTAGTTGGGGAGGTGAATCTTGCACCATTTGTAGCAGTGGGTGATGGGAATTTTAATTCCACCCAGTATATTAATGGTACAGGATTTGTTTTTGTCTGCAACATTAAAATTTGACATCTTTAGTAATCCTGACAAGCTGATGCCCAAAAGAGGTTGTTTCTGCTTTGAAAGGCATAGATATTTAAATATTGTAAAGAATAGGATTAGTCACCACACCCTTTCTAGTGGCCAGAAACGTTGTGTTTCCTTGCACACATAACCATGGTAAATTTGATACTGTGACAGATTGCTTGTTATGACATCCTTCTCAGGACAGCATCCATATCTCTCATCCAGATCAGTCTCAGACCGAAATGCAGAATTATTCAGTTGAAAGAGGTACTGTCATTTTAGAACAGACATTATCAGTCACTTTATTCAGAACGTTCCTATCCTTTATCTAGAGAAACTGAGGGGAAATTGTCAGAATGACAATAATTGTCAGTATTTAATTTAGAAGAGAGCATGTTTTGTAAACATAAATAATGGTTGAAACGGTCTGGGGTGTGCTGGTTACAATTTCGAAGATCTAGAAGTCACTTTCTCATCCTATGTTTCATCAAGAGGTCACTTCCATCATCTCTTTGAGAACTGTCAGTGCAAGAAGGAATAATAATGACAAGGTACTGACATTGTAATTTTGGCTGAGGAGGCCAGTGAATAAAGTCCTAAAGAGCTTGGATTTGAATTTCAGCCCTGCCTCTTAGAAGTTGTGAGGTTTCTCTAAAACGACTTCCTCTTCTGCTAAATAAGAATAATAATAACACCCCTCCCAGGTTTTTTGTAAAACACAGAGTAATACACCAAAAGTGATAAGCGTAATGTCTGACACATAATAGGCTCTCAATAAATGGTGCTTGATATTATTGTCAGTATTATGTACAATTACACTCTCTTAGGGTATACCACTTAGAATTTCCCAAAGCAACTCTAAAATTGTTGTGATATGTGTATATATACAAATATATATAATTTATATACAGGAAATATATATATATTTAAATTGAGGTGAAGAACTTTAGATTGCAGGGTAGATTACAGGGAAGACAACCTAGACACTTCAGCTTATGAAGCCTGCAATTAAGAAAGTTGATGGATTATTCTTATTTTATGATTGGCTATATCAAGTTGCCAGTGGTCAGTTATTCCTACAAAAAAGTGATGCGGAATGCTTGGGCTACAGAATTATACGAAAGTATTTAACAATATATAGTAAACCAGACAACTTTGTTTTCTTTGATCATAAAATGTAATACATTTGTCATTCTTAAAATTAAAAAAAAAAAAGAAAGTCCTGTTCACTGATAAGAATTTCACTGGTCCAATTTTCTCATCTCTCATTTCCTCTTCCCACCCTCGGATCAATATACTCAGAAGCTCTGAAAGCCCAATTGTCAGCCCCAAGATGAAAGGAAACAGGAAAGAGCCTATAAAGAGTGCATGAACTCAATACTTGTCCCTGGCTAACTAAGAAATGGAACTGAGCATGTCTGAAGGATCTCATTCTGGTTTTCTCTCATTACACTGTTTGACAAAGTGCACGCTTTTTGCCACGAATGAGATTTTGTGCTGACTGAAGCTGATTTTCACTATCATGATGCCTGGAAGTTCAGTTCCAGCCTGGACTTTCTCTAAACCTCCTTGTTAGCATATCAGACTATTTCCTCCAGGACCTCTATAAAGCAGGTACAGGTGTTGCATGCATTTACAATTCTCCAAAGGCCAAAGCTTTTTTCATTTCAATAGATTTTAAGGGGAAAAAAATAGAAGTATAATTTAAGGATCCATCCAATAAACATTTCTTTAGCACAAACTGTTCCAAACACTGTGTGAGGTGCTGAGGGTAAAACTGACAAATGGCCACATAGGCTCTGACTTCAGGGAGCACAGACAATCAAGTGATGTGCCAAAAACACACTACTGCACAGAAAAATAGGGCTTATAAAACAGGATATGATCTGAGCTGCTTTCTAAATTAAAGGAAAATCCTTAGAAGAGTAATTAAAAATAAATTGTTCATGTGTGTGTGTATGTGTATAATTTCCAATAAAGGAAAACCAAATAAAACAAGAGAAATGAAAACCTTCAATATTTTAGATAATTCTATGAAAGCAAAATACAAAGAAGACATCATATTCCATTCAGTCATCTTTCTTATTTTTTTTGAAATTAAAAAGAGAAACTCAGAAAACTCTTTTTCTGCTAGTATAGGGGAGAATAATTGAATTTCAAGTATCTTTTTCTGTCTGTCTTAAAAGTATTATCTACTTATGAGAAAGTAACTGGTCAATAATTTAAAAAATGAAAGAGAAAAGAAGTCAAAACTTCAAGGAAATGAAGGTTAATTTTTTTTATTAGCACCATGCCCCATCTTGATTAATTGACTTTTTATTTTCCCTTCTTAAAAAACTTCTCTGATTATTAGATATGGCCTAATTGTCCTAATATAATATCATTATTGCAATCTTCCCATGAGGGAATATAGTGTGTTTTCCAGACAAAGAAGGGAAAGGAAAATGAACACTACTTTTTTCTCAACCTAATTTATGCTCACATTTAAGAATCCCACTGCTTACCTGGTCATCTTCAACTTGTCAGTCCAGATTTTGATGTGGTTGTGAGAAGTGCTGAGTTTTCAATTTTGTAAAGTGGCACCACAGCCCATTGAGATCATGCTCAAGTTGGTCAGTTCGTGGTAGTTATAAAGCAAGTGTTACTGAAGGAATGGCTTTGTGTGATCATCTCTGCATAACATTCAAGTCCAAAAAAAAAAAAAAAAACTGCACAGGATTGCATTATCATTTACACAGTTCCACCAGAAATAGTAGAGGCAAGTTGTGTATTCCTATATTAATCCTAAAGGCAGTGGACACCTTGAGTCTGGAGAGAATTGAAGAATCAAACTCACTAATAACATAAAATTCCCCCCAACTGTGGTTATTTCTGAGTGGATCTGGGCAAGAATAAATATTTATAGTCATTATCCTTCATTCCACAACACTCTTTTAGGGTATACTATTCAGAATTTCCCTAAACAACTCTAACGCTGGCCTAATTTTTTATATATGTGTATATATACACACATATTGTATGTAATTTCTATTACATATAATGGAGAGCAACCAATCAGTTTCTCTATGTTTGAATCATGGTCCTACCAGTTAATAACTATGCAGACTTTCCATATTACCATAGAAATAAGGTAATTACTTACCTTAATTCTACTGAGTTTCATTTTTTCCATCCTGTCTCATAGAATTGCCATGAGGATTAAATGAGTTAACACATGAGAAGCATTTAGAACTCTGGGAAAAACTAAGTTTTTAATGAATGTTAGCTGTTTTTATTTTAATGTGCTTACTTAATTAATTGCTTTTTCATACATGAATTAAGAACTTTTGCTAAATGTAAAAGTGAAAAAATGACTAAAATATGCAGGTGAAAAATTATAATAACAATTACTCATAGATTCAGAAAAGATGAATAATGAATTCTTTGGAAGACATTTAATTACAGACTATTTTCATATATATTGACATATCTAGGATTTTAGTGAAAGTACTTGAGTTTGCATTTGACATTAATTACCATCTTTTTAAAAAGTTATGCATTTAATCTTTCAGCATTGGAAAAAAATAATTTACTACTATTCCACTGTATTATCAATCTTATCCTTATGTTTCCCCACGATCTCATTACCTTAGTAACAAAGGTAACAAAACAAATAGAAGCCTTAAAACTTATACTGCCCTGTGTTTTTCTTCTAAGTATACCTGCCTAGAGAAGTAGCCATGAATTCTAAATGAGTAACCAAGGCTTGCTATTATCTTGAAAGTGGTCACATCCATTCTTCCTGTGTCATCACAAAAAAAAAATCAAAAACATAAGCTATAAAGGAACATAGTTTACCAAAGTTATTTTGAATTTGTATTGTAAAATATTTCAAAAATCACTGAAAATTATAGAAAACAACTAACAAATACCTGTGTTCTTGCCATTTAGTTCCATCAAATTTTAATATTTTGCTATCTAGGCTTCATTTTTTTAATTAAAAATATTTTATAGGTACTCTCTGAAGCCCTCTGAAACCATTTCCCTCTCCACCTGAGATAACCACAAAATAGAATTTATTACCTATAATTCCCAAACTGTGTTATGATATTTTTATGTGTTTATTTTACATATCCATGTATTCATAAACAGTTTACTGTATTATTTCACATGATTTTAATTTTAAATCATGACAACTTACTATAGTCATCCTTCTGTACATTTTTTGCTCAACTTTTTTCATGATTTATCCATCTTATTATATGGAAGTGTGTATTTTTTCATTTTAACAGCTGCTTACTATTTCACTGAAAGAATATATCATAATGTATTTATATATTAGTCTTATTAACTTGCTATTAGAAACAATGTTACGATGAATGTTCTTGAACACATTCCTTGTGCACAGGTGGGAAAACTGTAAGGTGGAAGAAGACAAAGTAGAATTGTCTAGGGTATTTGGGTTCCATAAACTTAAACTTCACCAGTTTCATCTAAAATTCATCTAAAAACTGTGTACAAATTTATACTGTCTACAGTCTATGAGAATTCCTGTTTCTTTAAATCCTCACATATGCATTTCCTCCAAATTGTTTGCAATTTGTCTTGAATGAAAAAATGGTCAAATCCTGCTCTTATTTTTACACAAATGTGTTGGTTAGAAGTGATGAGAGTGATGCTCTATTTCTTAAATTGGATTCAATTCACAATGGCTGACACATGGGGCCTTGGCAAACGTAAGTTCAGTGGTTCCTAATCTGCACCTTAGATTTACCTAGGAGATTTAAAAAAATTCTGATACTCAAGCCTCACCCCAGACCTACTAAATCAGGATCTCCTTGGAGGTGCAGGGAGGAGAAATATGGGTGCAGAGCTGGGCCCTACATGGCAGCCTCAGAACTCAGATTCCTAGGTGATCCCAATATGCAGTCAATGTTGGGAATTAATGCCCTTGCATGTGGCTGATAAGAAAGAGAAGAAAGCTGAAGAGAGAAGACATTCTAAAAGTGAGTGGTGAACTAGAGCTTGATTCTCAGTAGCTCTATCTAGAACGGATAGGGTAAATTAGTGCTTAGGAAACAGTAGGAGGCATTCCAGGATGTGGCAGTGCTAGAGACCATGAACTAGCAAGTTAGTCAGCCCATAGTTAGGAATAGAACAACAAATCAAGGGTCAGGATCCTGTCCCTTTAGAAAAGACAACTTGTAAAATCAGAGCACATGAAAGGACTCCAGATGAGCAGGTTGATTTTCAGGACTCTGCTGCCCACTGGAGCTGAAGTATTTATTATTTAGGACCTCAGCTCTAAGGCTGGGCAGAAAATTCGGGAAAAAGGCAGTGAGGATTGGATGAAGGCCTCATCTATGTGGGTAACATTGGCTAATAGCAAACAACAATAATTCCAACCTCATCAGCCGGTTGATGTCAGCTATAGATGTTCTGTTTGTCTTAATTAGAATAGGTTTGGGATATAAACTTCTAACTGTTGCTCAGAGGGAATGGAAAAGTCAAGGAAAAATTCAAATGCCCCAAGTTATAAGGAATGAGGAACTATTTTGATCTGGTTTATAATGATTTATCTGGGCTATTGACATAAACTAAGACTTTATATTTAATTGCTTTATAACTAAATATCCTACTTTACTAAGAGTGTCAAAATATACTTTAAATACAAGGTAACAAAAGTTCATGGAATTTCAGCTGTAGCAATGAACATTTCTCATCCTTTCCTTAGTCAAAACAATTATTATAATTTTAAATAGGAAAAAAAAAAGAAAGACCATTTGGCTTTGCGGACATGATTAGAAGTAAAACTATTGGAAAGTGAAATACCAAATTATTATTTAAGTGAAATACTTAAATTATTATTGATGTTACCATATAGTTCATGCAATTGTCTCCTGCATTCAGGAAAGAGAAAGGTTCTAAAGTTATGGTATAGTTAGAACACCTAAAAGCTTTTCTTTAAAAACTACTTGAGAGCAAATAAAACTAAAGGCATCCAACGTATTTTTAAATTGTCATTTTGTATTCAACTTAAAGTAAGGTTTTAGACAGGAAGGTGATGGGATGATTGCATAATGATTTAAAACAAAATACCATCTTAAAATGTCTGCATGCCCTTCCAGCTGACTATGAAGGCATCAGTTAAGGTGAATAATCAAGATAACTTTTTTTTCCTTCTAATTCAGTGCTGAGTACAAGAGGAGGACTAAATATGTTCAAAAAAGTCTTAATCCTGAGTGGAATCAAACAGTAATTTATAAAAGTATCTCCATGGAACAGGTACGCAATGATTATTTTCTATGTGACAGTTTTCGGCTAATATAAGAAATCCCATGACAAAATTATTGCAAGACTGTGGTCTATCACTTTATCCACACAAACAAAAAGAAATGAGTAAAATACAAATAATAAATGTAGCCAGTGAAAGGGAATGGATACAGTGCAAAGTTACCCTGAGTGTAAATGTGTGCATTTTGACAAAGCAGCCAAAAAATAAGTAAGACCAATGGAACATTTGCCATCAATTATTGCAAAATCTTAATATTTCAACAGCCTGGGCCACATTTCTCATATTTTAAGGGAAAATATTTTCCAACTGGCTATATATTTTTTATAAATTTTGGTCAGTCACGTTCATTTTTTTCCAGTTTTACTGAGAAAATTGACATAATACATTGTATAAGGTTATGGTATACACCATAATGATTTGATATGTATATATTGCAAAAATAATAGCTGGCTGTATTTTGACTTTCACAAATAATACAAAGAAAATATTCAGTGTATATGAATGTGTTATTGCTCCAGGCAACATTTTAGGAATTCATCTCTTCTCTAAATCGAGGCCTCTTGAAAACCTGGCATTGTGGGGCTAAACTGTACAGACCCAGACATACAGATGACTAGCCTAAAAGATTTTAAAGGAGATTTATGATTTGTCCTCTGGAAGATTTCTAATTTGATGATGAAGTTGAAGCTGGGTACAAATTGTAATCTGGGTTCTTGAATTTAAAATAAGTTAAATTTACCTGCAGAAATAAGAGAATGCTACTATATTTTTTGGTGATTTACTAAAACCAAAAAACTCCAATCTAAATATTTTATCCAAATAACCTAGACAGCTTTGCATCCTATAAATTCCATGTATTTAAAGAGCATTTGTAGATTCTACTTTTTTTTTTTTATAAAAATCGAGAGTGGGGGCCTAGAATAACAGGGAATTAGTAAAAGTTTGAGGTCTCATGAACAAACAGCAGGTTGGGCTATAAAATCATTGATATTTTATATAATATTTAATATAAACTTACATTTTAGATAAAATTTGAAGACTTTTTATACAAGTGGAAAGAGTTCAAGAAGGAAGTGAAAATAAATGAATCTATAATAGAGTGTGATGAAAATTTGTGGGGTTAATAACATTTTGATTTAAACTGTAGCTCAAGAAGAAAACACTGGAGGTGACAGTCTGGGATTACGATAGATTTTCTTCCAATGACTTTCTTGGTGAGGTGAGCATCTGATTTCCTTTTCTTCATTTGCTTTCATTATAAACCATCAAATAAAATTTATTGATACAAGCATATTTCTTAAGTTTATTAGATAATCATTTTGGTTAAAGCCCTTTGGTGGATAGGATATATTTCCTGATTTATTCCTTGACTGGATGAATAGTAATTTGAGAAATGGTTTTCACTCTACCATTTGATGTACTTTATAATTAATTTGCAGATGAATTATTGTTTTGATAGTAGATATATAATCATGCTGTGAATCCAAATTTGAGATAAGTTATTATAAAATGAGCTAGATTTTTAAAATGCATTTTCAGGTATTTAATTGCTCTTCCTCACTGCATCTATCAGTGACTTGATGTGGCATTCTGCATTCTTTATTTCTTTTAAGTATCCCATGAAAAATCTCTCAAAATATTTTACGAGGCAAAATAGAAGTAGGAGAAAACAATAAAAATCAGTTTTATTTAAGTTCACATGGAATCTTACCTAATCATGAAATCTAGCAGAGTCAGATCCTGTGTTTTTTTTTTAATCTACCATATTTCAAAAAATATATTTAGTAATCTTTACTTAAAGCAGAAGTTATGAATTAATGTTAAAAAATAAATCCTCTCCAAAAATAAAATAACACCTAGACAATATGATGTCCCTTCCCAGAAACAATAGAAAAGAGTTGTTTAGTCTAGGTGACATGAGACCTTGTTTGGTTCCAAGACTCCACACTTTTCTTTACCATCAAAACTAGGCCATTTGACCTTTACTTGCAGGCTCCATGCTGGTACAGCCCCTGGGACTAATCTTGATTTTTGGACAGTTCTAGGATACAGTATTATATCAGACTTAATGTCTCATTTCAGAAAACTGATTTATTATAGTCCTTGTAATTTATTGTTGACATGAACCTAGAGCATATATCCATTGTGTTGGTTCTCATTTTTTTATATCTCATCAAATCTAAAATGCCAGCAATTGTAAAATGGGATATTACTCATGAACCACTAAGCAAGAAAAAAATGCTGCCAGTCAAACCATGACACAGTGCTTTCTCATCATAAATTGTTAGGCATACCCCTATTTCAAATATGAATTAAAGTATGTTTTAAAATACAGGGAATTAGTAATTGCAAATTACCCATTCTTTTTTAGTTTGTCCCTCTCATAACTAAAAGCAATCTTTAAAAATGATATCCAAGTTTAAAAAAAAAAGATATCCAAGTTTAGTACTAAAATGTGTTCATTTAGTAAAAGAGAGCTCTCATTCATAAAGAGATTGAGTTGTGACTACCTTTTCACATCATCTCCAAATAATTTATAGTCGAAGATCTTATGCAGTTCAGTTTAATCAAATGTTCATTTTAAAAAATATATTTATTTTAGAGAGAGGGTACACAGTTGGGAGGGGCAATGGGAGAGCAGAGCAGAGCCCAATGTGGGGCTCGATCTCACAACCCTGAGACCATGACCTGAGCCGAAACCAAGAGTCTGATGCCCAACCGACTGCACCACCCAGGTGCCCCTAATGAAATGTTTATTAAGCATCTAATATGCACAAGATGTTGTTCCCAATGTCATGGGTAAAGAAAAATGAGGAAGACAGCCTTGTCATCCTCAAAGTCATACTATGTCTTTTGGCTTATATCCTTGAGTAAATTTCAGATCACAGAAAAAAGTAATGGATGAATTATATCAATTTCATTGACTTACTGCATTTTTTCAGGTACTGATTGATTTATCTAGCACATCTCATCTCGATAACACTCCAAGATGGTATTCTCTCAAAGAACAGACTGAAAGCATTGATCATGGCAAGGCTCATTCCAGCCAGGGCAGCCAACAGTCTCCAAAACCATCTGTCATCAAAAGCAGAAGCCATGGTATCTTCCCTGACCCATCCAAGGGTAGGAGATATTTCAAGTAGAAAAAGCTTTTTTCTATTTGTTCACTCAGTAACTTCTTGAATATGAATGCCTGTATATTTAATATATTTTACGATGTTGGATTCTATTGGAAAATATGTAATATAATATCCTGCAAACAGTAATGGATATGGAATCAGGAAAAATGGGCTTTAGTTTCAGATCAGCGCATAATTAGGTTTATGACTTTGTGATCGTCACCTCTTCGACTCTGGTTTTCAACCAGTACAACGGAGGGAGTTGGGCTCTATGAGCTGTTGGATTATTTCCAGCTCTCAAAATCCATGATAATATGATTTTATCAAATATGTTGGGGTATTTCATAAAGAAAAATAAGAATCCTCAACAGTCCATTGACTAGACATACTCATCATTACCATTTATGCATATTTCTTCTCATTGTTTAAACCCCTATTTTTCCATAGGTATATTCTTACTCATATATTATATATGTAATATATGAGCATATATAATTTTGCATCCTGCTTTTTACTTACCATACCAAGAACATTTTCCCCATGTCACCAAAACAACTGGTATGTTGAAATTTACTTAAACCTTTCCTAAATGTTGGCCTCGAGCTAATTCTATGACTTTTTTTAAACTACTATCATTATTTTTGAAATGGTAATGTTATACATTGGGTTTGGCAATACGCACAGAATTCCCATTTGAATGAGCTTTTCCTTTGAGAGGTTCATTGCCGATTATCCTACCACACAACATTAATCTTCATCATAAACCAAGTTGCTGCCTAGATGAGATAACCATGTAGTATCTCACCTAGGCATACTGAACTATTTATAAGTGTCAACTCTAAATTTTTATACTGGCCCTGAGTGTTGCTCCCTTCTCTCCTCAGAAAGTACATCAAATTGAAAAGTGGTTCTTTGCGCATTAGAAAGGAATGGGTCACTGGTGCAAGTGTTCTCGGAGATGGAAAACCACAAGGCCAAGTCCAGTAGGCCACTGAGTTGATATGACAAACCACGGGCTACCATGAGGGCTATAGATGACTTATGAATGAGCTTTATAGATCATTTATGGATCCCACTTGGCCAGATCAACTCTGCCCGGATTAACTTTCTGGAAGATCATTAGCATAAAGACCTCTCTCTCTGTCTCTCTCTGATGGCCATAGTAAGTGTGGGATCTCTCTGTACATTCTCTGAAATCCCCTGAGACACGATTCTCCAGTCTCCACTGTTAATGTGTCCTGGTGACTCACACCCGTCCATCCAGGCATTCCCTGCATTTTCACTGGAAACTCCTCTGTGGCCGTGGGAGCCTCTTGACTCTTGCCTGGTCCCTCCTAGAAGTAGCAGTTGCTTGGCGAAACGGAAAGTTAACATCTGCATTTCCATGAGGCCAGTTGGGTGTGTGTCCTCTTCTCAGACTTCTGTCTTCTCGACATGATTATCCTTTTGAGGTACCTCCCCACAACTGTTCCCTCAATGTTTAATCACATCGCCGAGTGACAAGCAGTTGCATAAATGAGCCCAAAAGGAAACAGAATTAACATAAATCTTAGACAGTCTCAAATTATGTGAGACCAAGCTTGCCAGGAGGAACGCCGGAGCGCTGTTAACTCACGTCTCACCCTCTTGTAACCAGACATGCAGGTTCCCACCATTGAGAAATCCCACAGTAGTCCTGGTAGCTCGAAATCCTCCTCCGAAGGCCACCTGCGCTCTCATGGACCGTCGCGCAGTCAGAGCAAAACCAGCGTCACCCAGAGCCACCTGGAAGATGCAGGGGCTGCCATAGCCGCTGCCGAAGCCGCAGTGCAGCAGCTCCGCCTGCAACCAAGTAAAAGACGCAAATAAATTCCTCAGCATGGCAGCTTAATGTTCATCTGTCGCCTTTCTCTCTCCTGCTGTCCTTCCCGTTCGCTTTCCGTGTTCTGGCAGACTCTGCTCCCTCCATCCTCTGTCCCTCTGTCCGTGTCACAACAGTACCAAGACATAAATCTGCTCTTTCTTACTTCGATTTTTCGTTTCGTTTATTTATTTACGTGGATGGCAATAAAACTGGCTGTTTCCCCTCTGTCTCCACCATCCCTCCAACCTGGCTCATAGTATTTGGTAGCTGTGTCTGTGACGTTTGCAGGCAAAGCAGTGTCGTGTGTCCTTTTCGTGTGCGCTTAAATATCCTTGAGAATCCGGCAATTATGAGCACAAGTGGCTGCCAGTTTTCCAGGCATTACACCAAAAAAAAAAAAAAAGCACACACACAAGCATTTAGAGCAGATTAGAGATGAGATTCTCGCATCTGAAAACACCCAAAAATTGTCGGGCAGAAGAGTAATGCGACCAACAGTCGAATTCTCCAACCGAGCAGGGGGAAAGCCATTTCAAGCTTAGAAACCTTAATGAATTATGCATGTGAAATGTTGTAGCTTTCCATGTGGGAAACTTTCTAGTCTTTTAGGGGAAAAAAAAAATCTGTGAAGAAAATCATGTCTTGTATTTTCCAAAAAGTACATAATATTAATTATATGTGTAGACATATGTGATGAGGTGATGTCCCCTCAGTAAGGAGCACAGTCAGGTCCATTCTGTTGGATCACACTTTGTATATGATATCAGAGAATTTATAGGCTATTTTCTTTTCTAACCACTGGAAATCCTTATACAGGCAAGAGGCCGATTAAAGAATAACAACTCACCCATCTTAATTGCTGTATTTTCATTTAATTTGCAAAAATGTAGTCAGTCGATAAGGAAAAACTGAATGAGTGCAGAGATCTTACGAACGGAGCTGCCCTTTTGCTTCCAAGCAGCCTTAGCCAGATCGTGGAGAGAGATCGATGTTATCCCCATCTCCCCAAGTCTTCATTTCCCGAGAAACAGCCAGTTTTAACCCCTCTAGTGCTGTGCATGTGGTGTCATTTTGGCATTTGAAAACACAGCCTCTTGAGATGGAGCAAAAGATCACTTCTGTTTGCATGAGTGGCATTGAAGCTGGTTCCATCTGAGGATACGTACTCTGGGTTTCCATTCCACCCACACTGCCACAGCAGCACATAAAAGCGGTCAGTCTAATCATGCCAGGAAGCAGCACAGACACAGCATAGCGGGCGTCCTCCCCATTCAGAGAACTCAGTCTGATAATCTGCCTCCACCAGCCAATGGCAACCAAGACCAAAGCCAGCTAGCCCTCAGGAAGGTGGTGTCTGATGGACCAGTCAAGCCAGAAGGAGGTGAGCAGAAAGGCGCTATGCAAAGCACACAGCAAGAACATCCCCCACATTTAAAGCCCTCATCTTTTAATTTTTTAGAGATTGTCTAATCAAATCTGTTTATCCACTTTTTGATGTGCTTTTGTGGGCATGGCATTTCAGGACTTCATCATCACTGTGTAAGTCCCCAAATCAGTCCCATAATATATGACTACAGTGATTTGTATTTTTCTATGCACTGGGCATCTTTTGACTTCTGTTGGGAACTAGATTAACAATATTCATATTGCAGAATGGAATGCATGCTACTAACCTAATCTGTTCAAGCATGACTATAAATATGTTGCATTGTGATAAAAGTTTAAACTGCTCAAAATTCAAATTAGCGTACCAGTTGGAATGTAGATCAGTTTTTGTTGCATATTATTTCAAGTGTAACTTTTTAAAACTTCAGTGGATTTTGGAAATTCTTAGAGGAAAGTAAGGGGAAAATTGTTAATGCACTAATTCACCTTTACATGGTGAAAGTTCTCTCTTGATCCTACAAACAGACATTTTCCACCCATGTTTCCATAGCTGTTAAGTGTATCAGATGTGTTGGGCATGTGAATATCCAAGTGCCTGTGTAATAAATAAAGTATCTTTATTTCATTCATAAACTACTGGGTTCTGAGCCATTGTTATATGATGCAGCTTAAAATGAGTGTGTCAGTTTTTGCTTTCTCATTTGATTCCTTGCAATAGAGTATGGCTAGTTACTGTTCCGTTGCTAGTGAGGCCTCTGTGATAGAACATTTTGGGAGTGGAACCAAGTTTGATGTTGAAACATCATTAGCTAGATGGAAAATTATGACCAAATGAAAGCACCAAGTGTACATAAACATGTGAGTGTGAATTGGGGTTGGGCTCTTCTAGGCAATACGTCCACAGTTTCTGGCTCCCACATCTGATCTACTCCACAGTCTTCTCGGGTTCCTGGGTAGAGGAGGACAAATACCCTGAGCCCCAGCTTTGGAGGTGTATCTAAACATGATTCCGTAGCCATGTTCAGAAAGGAAAACAAGTTTGTATCCATCCCTAGCTAGACCCCAACACTCCTGGAGTTTTCCCCAAAGAAAAGAGTATCACCACTAGTGACAGGAATCAAACGAGGGTGATTATAAAATTATCTTCAAATTTAATTCAAAAACACTATAAAATAAAGGGTTTTTAAAAATAGGTTAAAAAATTGGATAACGGTACCCCCTTCAATCCCTTCCAACCCGAAAATACTTGATTTTACGATTCTCTACTTGTCCCCAAATTAAAATCAAGCCTTATATTTTCCTGTTGTATTTCTCCTAATTCTCCAAAAACTACCATTTTTATACGTTCTTGTCCCAGCAAATCAGATATTTAGGGTCAGTGGAAAATATATGTAGCATAAAGCACAGTGATGTTTTCTGAATTAGCCAGGTAATTATCCCCTGTGCATGGATTCCGTTTTCTAATTAGCTTACTGTTACTTCCCAAAAGTACTTAAAATCCCTCCTCTTATCTTTTTCTCTATCAAATGAGTTCAGTTGGTTTCTTACAGTTACTCATTTTCTTCAAGTATTCCATAATGATGTCACAGTAATGAAATGCTTCCCTATCTCACTCTATTTTAAATTATCATGATTTCAGTATTACTATGTAATATTTTGTCTGATTTTTTTTGACGTGGTTCTTAAAATTTGTGGCAAAATATGTTTAATTCCCTTTCTTTGCGTAATGCTGTAATGGATATTCTCATCCACATAAGGTGCTGTGACTGAACCCTGAAGCCATTCTCTATTGAAATAATCAAGATAACATAGCCTGCTTTCTTGTTTAATTTGGTACTGAAGATGAAATGCCGTTTTCTAAAACATAATTATTTCCCTGCTACTGTAAGTGTACCAAGAATATAATTCAACCATGCATCTTGCCAATTAAGAGTAAACATGCTATAGGATTAAATTTGTATAAAATGCTGTAGAATTAAAGTGTAGAAAAATTGGTATGAGATGGAAACATACAAAGAGCCAACAAGTTCTCGTTCACTAACTGCATAAATAAGTATTATTATTAATTTTAAGTGTTTAGATAAAAGCCTTCCATTTCAAACCTCACAATGGAGTTCACAGAGTCCCATCTGCATTCTGATGATAATGCCCTTCATTTGAACAGTTCTTCACATTGTATTGAGTGTTCTGTCACCCATCTTCTCATTTATCACACCTAGTAGAGGAGGTCTTCATGGCAGATATTCTTATGCCCGTTTTCTGAGTGAGCAATCAGAGAGAGGGCTGGGATGATGGATAGAATACACAGAAATTTCTAGAATCGGCAACCGGACCCTCGTTCTAGGCCTAAACCTTTGCTTCCTAAATACGTTGGCTCCTCTGAAATCAAACTCTTCTGATTTCAGTAAAAACAATTGTCGTTTACATACTTGTTATTTGTCACTTAAGTTCTTACAAATGATGAGAGGTTGCTAGAAATGATGGCAGAATACAACTTAGTCTTGCTCTCCCTACATGATCCTTTTTTTTCTGAAGGCTGAAAATTAAGCTGCCACAAACCCAAGGAAATAAAACCCTCTCATGCATGAGCCCAGTGTGGCAGTAAGCGGAGTCTGTAGAGACCGTGTGTACATCTGTAGTCATTTCTATCAAGGGTGACGAAATTGTCCCTAAAGAGCCTTTCGAATGTTTTTTTGTGAACTTCTCAGCAGATTTCTGCCTGAAGTAGCATAAAATATGAGTCAAGCAAGAATTATGGATTGAGCCAGAAAGAACTTTCTCTCCCCGCCCGGGGTTTAGTTGCACGCTAGGAACCCTGAAAAGAAAGATTAGACAGATTGTGCCAGATAATCCTGATGCCTAAACAACTCTTTTGTATTTAGAAATCCCTGGAAATGATTTTGTTCCAAGCCAGTTGGTTTGACTGAACACAGGCTCCACCATTTTAGAAGGTGACAGCAACCAGAGAGGAGAGTTTAAAAAATAGTTATTTTTTTAAACCATACTCAAACTGAATCAGATTGAGGCATTCTTTAAACCTTAAAAACTAACTTAGTTGACATCCACTATTTTACATTTTAAGTGGATTTTGAAATTCCTGAGATATTCTTGTTTGATACTAAGATTTTATGTGAGTCTTAAAATTAGGAACAGTAATAGAGGCTGAGGAGAAATGTCCCTCCACCCTGGGAAATGAGATAAGAGCCATTGGAACGGGTTGGAGAGGATGGGAGAGCAGATGAACCATTGAATAAGTTGTGTGCGGGAATTATGATTAAGCATTCCTTGGAGTGGCTGAGTTGTAGGAGAAAAGCCTGAAGCTACTTCCACAGACCACTGCTGGAAACTCCGCTTTCAATAAGGCTCATTTTCAGCACCTGTCACAGAAGAGTTTCATATCTGCAGGTTGTCGTGGTGAACTCTTACTAAGCCATCGCTCTGTGGGAGCTGCTCTCTTGGGCAAGTGGTAGGGGGTGGCCGGGCTGGGAAGCGGGGCGGGCACCGGGAGTAGAGGGTACTGTTGGTGACAAAGGGCGATAGCTAATGTGTGTCCCATTCTCTTCTGACTGGAAGTAGATGGTCACTTTTGGTCAGAAAGAATT